CAGTACGGATTGTGCTACTAAGACGGATCGGGCAGCCACACTGCTAACTGCTGCTAGAGCTGCTAACCTCGGCTAACTGCTGCTAATGCTGCTGAAGATGGTATTTAAATTTTAATTTCAAAACATGTTTATTAAAACTATGGATGGTTCCTATGGTTCGGCACTATGAAGTGCAGCTCGGACACCGGCCACAACTGCCAGATTAATGTCTTGTAGGGAAGCGTTAGCAGTGTTGGCGGTTGCTATTGTCTCAGGATGATGACATCAAAACAAGAGCACCAATACCAAAGGCTGCATTCCATTCTGAAATACTTAAATGTAAACTTCAACCTTGAAGATTTATCTTTCACATTTAGATTTAGAATTTAGCATTATGACAATTATCATTTAAGTTGAACTTTTATTAAAAATTAGCTGAATTTAATAACTGTGAGCTAAATAACTGTCAGAAAAATAAGTGTTTACTATGACTGAAGTCAAGATGAAAACACCATTGTTAAATAAAATGATTTGTGGAAGGAATAAACCATACAACACCAGAATTCTGGAACCGAGTACACTGGCCAAAAGCCAGGAAGTGCATCGATTTATACATGATTCTTCAGTGCCTGAATTCGCCCCCTACTGACGTACGGCTGAAACACAGGCATTCATCCAAAAATCTCAGTCTAATGTTATCATAACGGTTCACTTATGTGTCGTTTATAATTCGGACATGTAACTACTCTATATCAATTAACACATAATAGATCAAAACATTATAAAAGGAAACCCTAATAATCTAGTGTTGTACTTCTAACATCAGTACTAGCCTGTAATAACTATACATTTCTTCATAACAATAAAATGTTAGTGGAAAATTTTCAATTAGGATTTTACACTTACAAAGTGAGCTAAATAATAAAAAATACGTTTGTGACATTTTCTTACATTTTATTTTACACTTCTATAGCAGAATGATGAGGTCATCATACAACCTTTAAACACGCATAATAATCTATTTTAGATATAAACATTTTACTTAGCTACAGAAAATAAAATGACTTACAGCTTTATAGTCCGTTGGGTTTATGGACAGCAGAGGGCAGACTTGCTCTCTTGAACCTTTGGTCCCCTCAAAGATCCTTTGAGGATCCTTTCTTACAAATACATTCTTTGTATTCTTTTTTGTTTGACACAGGATCATTTTACTAACTAAAGTTGTCATCAAACAGGCTGTTCCTAGTTTAGACACAGTGTGTATAAAATGTGTTTTTCTCCCATCACACCATGGAGTCCTGATTTTGAATCTTCTGTGAGCATGTTTGGTCCTGTGTATTTGTATATTAGACAGCAGGCCTGAGGTCAAACTGCAGCTCCTCGGGCTGCAGGGATGCTCTGAGGAATGCTGATCCTCCTGAAAACCTGGCAGCTGGAGCAGGTGTGTTTGACAGGAGCAAGGCCTCGTTAAAACACACCCTGTTTGTAAAACCGGCAGGATATCCAAGATTTTTTTTATTTTATAGAAGACGTTGTCTGGAGATCTGCAGAAAGTCTTTTTTTTTCTTCCCCCAAACATTCAGGTGTTCTGATACATATCGCCTGGGTTGAGCAAGTTCAGACGTCGTGGTAGTTTAGTTTACTCCTGCGACAGCAGCAGCAGCAGCAGTGGTTCACACAGGTCACAACCATCATGGTCAGGACCATGACTGCAGAGGAGAGCAAATGAACAACATGACAACCAATTCAGGTTCAAACAGTGCGAGAGAAAAAGTGTTGTGACTCACAGATGAAGACTAGGATGATGAAGAAGGCTGCCTGTTCTACAGGGTGGATGTTGGGCAGATTTTGAAGCTTGAACCAGAGTCTGTTTAGGTGGGCCAGCGTCTCTTCTCTGGCATCCATCCCTGCTGAGGTGACAGATTTGAGGATAAAACTCATGAAACACTCTAAAGTGGGTAAAATGGGAACACCAGTATACAAGAGTTAAATACTGTTAGTGAACTTTGTGATTTTTAAAGAGTCAGTTCATTATGAATTAATGGAGAAATCTCATGCAAAATGAGATCATGGGAGTTCACCCAACCAGTCTACATGTGTTTTGTGGACTTGGATTAGTCGTTCGACCGTGTCCCTCAGGGACTCCTGTCGGGGATACTCCGGGACTATGGGGTACCAGGCCCATTGATACGGGCTGTTAGGTCCCTGTACGACCGGTGCCAGAGCTTGGTCCGTATTGCCGGTAGTAAGTCAGACTCGTTTCCGGTGAGGGTTGGACTCCGCCAAGGTTGCCCTTTTTCACACCGATTCTGTYCAAAACTTTTATGGACAGAATTTCTAGGSGCAGCCAAGGTGTTGAGGGGATCCTTTTTGGTGACCTTAGGATCACATCTCTGTTTTTTGCGGATGATGTGGTCCTACTGGCTTCATCAGATCGTGATCTCCAGCTCTCGCTGGAGCGGTTCGCAGCCGAGTGTGAAGCGGCCGGGATGAGGATCAGTGCCTCCAAATCCGAGACCATGGTCTTGAGCTGGAAACTGGTAGGGTGCCTTCTCCGGGTCGGGGAGTAGGTCCTGCACCAAATGGAGGAGTTTAAGTATCTCAGGGTCTTGTTCACGAATGAGGGAAGAATGAAGCGGGAGATCGACAGACGGATTGGTGCTGCGTCTGCAGTGATGCGAGTGCTGTACGGGTCGGTCTACGTTCCTCATTTATGGTCACAAACTTTGGGTAGTGACCAAAAGAACGAGATCACAGATACAAGTGGCCGAAATGAGTTTCCTTCGCAGGGTGTCTGGGCTCTCCCTTAGAGATAGGGTGAGAAGCTCAGTCATCCAGGAGGGACTCAGAGTAGAGCCGCTGCTCCTCCACGTCGAGAGGAGCCAGTTGAGGTGGCTCGGGCATCTGGTTAGGATGCYTYCTGGAYDCCTCCYTSGTGAGGTGTTCCGGGCACGTCCCACTGGGAGGAGGCCCAGAGGAAGACCCAGGACACGCTGGAGGGACTATGTTTCTTGGCTGGCCTGGGAATGCCTTGGGATTCCCCCAGAGGGGCTGGTCCAAGTGGCTGGGGAGAGGGAAGTCTGGGTCTCTCTTCTGCTGCTGCCCCCGCGACCCGATCCCGGTTAAGTGGCAGAAAACGGACGGACGGATCTCATGCAAAATCCAGCCGTTTGTATTTTGTTGTGTATGGAGTCTCTAGAAGTGCAGAAAAGTTGAATTTAGTCTCTCCTGGTGCTGTGTAGATATCTTTATATTCTGTTTGCATCATATTTTTCAACCTGTTCAGTTTTCTTTATTTTCTGTGGTGTTTTCTGTCTGAACTAATATGTTAAAGTAATTGCAACAGAACTTCTAAATAAGGTCTGGATTGTGAATTGCTTTGTTTTTTATTTAAAGAGGCAGCCTCAGAAAAATGGGTGAAAGAGGGGCTTGTGGAGTTACAATAAGGAGGAAATCAGACCAAAGCATTATAGTTTCACTTTATAAAGACCCCAACTAATGATTTAAATGTGAAAAAGAAGGATTTAAAAGCATGACACGTCTCCTTTTAATAAAAAGCTTGTTTTACTGTCACATCGTTCCCTTCAGGTCTGAACAGAAGGTATAGTGTCTTTGGGTGGAGGTGGAGTTTTAGGTTAAATGGGATTTACTGTCTTGTGTTCTGTTGAGCTCTGGCTGAATTGTTAAAATGGGTGTGACGGGCTGGCTTGTCAAGCTTTGAGTTGTTTTATTGATTTAAAAAGCATAAATAGATTAATGCAATCATCATTTTGTTCCACTGGTTTAGGAGCTGAAGAGCTTCTCTTACAATAAGGGTCGAGTCTGAGGTCCCATCAGAACCAGAGAACTTGGCTTCTGTCATGACCTCGTCCACAAATAAAGAACCGAATCAAATCTAAACCAGGGTTCAGTTCTCATGAGATGAATTTACAGTCAATTATCTTCTAGTTTCCAGCAGCTCGTCTCACATTATCATGTTTGGTTTGGTTTGGACAATATACAACACAAAATGAGTTTGAAAGGAGGTGGTAACTCCCCGCCCCCATCTGCACTTTCTTCCATTGCTGATCTAATTAAATTTTCTCAGTTGTCAATAAGCTGGATTCCTTTCAAACTTTTTCTTATGTTGCACTGAAACTACACATTCTACTCTGTTTTGTAGCATTATTTACACAACTGAGTGATTTTTTAATTTTAGTTCTGGCCCAAAAATAGAGTTAAATTTTACCAGTGTTTAAAAAGCTACAAAGAAGCAAATAAACATACTGTAATATTCACAAGGTCAGATTTATTGTAGAGTTGTTACATAATGTCCTAAAACACACAAWACTCCAGGAAATTAGTTTTATTTCATGTTTTTATGTCTTTTTGTTCTAAAATGATGTCCAACTTAGTCAAGTATGTAACTCCAACAAACTCCTGCTGTTCAATTGAAAATTGTGTAACAATATCCTGTTAGCTTTTATTTTACAGTTTGGTGTAAAGTTCCCATCATGTTTACTTTTCTAAAAAMCAAAAATACGTTCTTCAGATTCTCTTCAAGCTGTGAAAGTCACTTACCTGTGAGAGATTTAGCTGTTTTCTAACACAAAAGCTCTTCTTTTCTTGTTGAGCTCCTCAGGTTTATTATTTGCGCTCTGTTTTCACAGGACTTCACTTCTCTTTGCCCTCCTCCGAACGCTGTTCTCTCTCCGTCAGTCCTGTTTGGGAGTGACTGTAGCTTCAGCTGTTTGTGTTTTTCTCCTCCTCCTCCTCCTCCTCCTTCGCTGGGGTTTCTCTGTTTTACACAGGAGAAGGTGGCAGTGTTTCCTTTCCTGGCACCAGAGTTAGGAAATTGTTTTGATGCGGCCAGTTCCCCAAAAATGTGGGAATGTAAACTGTTAACATACTGGTTAATATGACAGAACCTTTTTTATAGTTAAACAGATATAAAAATGGGAAAATATTACTTTTAAAGTAATGATTTTGATAGGAAATAGTGTGGGGGAAGGAGATGCTTTTGTGTTAGAGGTAAATTATCCTTGTTTTCTCCAAAACACAGATAGAAAGTTGCTCTGAAAAAGTTCAGATCATATTTCCTGTAATTGATTGTTTCTCTTGCTAGACTGAAGCTCAGAGTCTGAGTTTTAAATTTCCCATAACAAAGAGTAAACACTTATTTCACAACAAAATATCTATCCTAATCATGTGTGACGGCTACACAGCAGGCTATAAATCAACATCACATATCTCTCGCCATGTTTCACACCAGAGTTTTGAACTAAGCTAATCTTCTGCTGAGAAATGAGGCTTTTGGCGGCAGGTGATAATAATTTTACTCTACCCTGTTTTTTTCAGTGCCACAAGAAAAACTCTTGTTACCAAACCCCACCTTTTTTTTTAACCCTCCCTGCCAGTTGTCGCCACGCCACCATTTCCAAGTTTTTCGGGGACAAGAAGCCGATCTGTGCCGGCGCCTGCGACTTCTGCCGGAACCCCAAAGCCGTCCGAGCTCAGCTGGAGCGAGCGGCCACGCTCAGCTCCCGCACCGAAGCAGCCCAGAGCCGAGAGCCAACGGGCCCGTTTGGGTTCCAGCCGGACGCTTACGACGGCGGGAACAGAGGCTACGGCTTCGAGAGGCAGGACGAGCTTCTGTTGCACGCTTTGAAATGTGGACCTAATTCCATCTGCAGTGTAGAGCCATTATAATGTGACAGTCCTGTTCATTATCACTGCAGGTTTGATGAAGGGGAGGGAGGAAGTGGTGATGATGACACCAGAAAGAGGAAGAGGGAATTTTCCGACCTCTACAAGAAGCAGATGAACATGAGGAAGGTGATTCATAATTGTTAGCATGCAAAACGTCACAACTCCTATTCCCAGTTTCATTTTGTGTAAAACATAAAAAAGCATAATGAAGTAAATGCAAATCTTAGCTCAGAGCTACACATTCTCCTCTCATCACTGAGGTCCTCCATCCACATGACAGAGAGAGGAACGCAAAAATGACTCAGTCTGCAACTGAAAATATGGATGGAGGACCTCAGTTTAGCTTGTTTGTTTGTCACACTAGCACCGAGCTAATACAAATAAGGCAATATAGCATCGACGCTAACGCAAAGGCTAACAGGCTAAGCTGAGGTTCTTCTTCCATGAAGCAGCTCTGTTGTCCTCCATCCATATTTTCAGTTMCAGGCTGAGTCATTTCTACCTTCTCCTCTCTGTCAACGCTCTCTGGTTTCATTTAAAAGAGTCGATCATCAGATATTGTCCAAGATTAACCTTCAGGGTGGATATAGCTCACTCACACTGATGACCTATGGACCTATCCACGTCATTGTTTACCCAGAATACTTTGCTTGTAAAGAAAATGGCTCGGTCCGTGTTAAAAATGTACAAAACTAAACAGCCTACAGTACTTTTACAGTCTTTATTTTACAGTTAAAATAAATGTTTATCAAATAAAGTCTAATGTTACAACTAATCAGGGATCCCTTTAATATCGCCCGCCTCCTTAAAAGATGGACGATCATGTAATGTGTTTGTGCTTGTGTGCGTTTCTGTTTTATAAAAGATTTCACAAACCAATGGACAGAATTTAATGAACCTTGCTGAAATCATTGGATTTACATCTACTGCTGACTCTTTTTGGGAGCCAACCTGACTAAAGATGGCCGCCACAACTGATCAATCTTAGCAAACATAAAAGCATCTGTAACTTCATCGATATTGACTTTAAGTTTGGTAGTAGCTGAGAGTCATCTTCAATTTTTTTCTCTGAGCACCAACAGGTCACACAAGCTCTTTATTAGAAATTTTGACCTGCAAACCGGGAGGTATGCATTCCTTCATATAGTGTATGCTGGACAGAGCCTGAACGACAGTAAACTGAATCTGAATATTTGTCTAAAGTACTTTGCCACATTTGTTTTGCATGTCTGCACATCTGTGTTCCAGCTGTTGGCAGCAGGAGGTTGACCCGGGGGTGGGGGGGGGGGGGGGTGGATTTGTGCTTTTCCTGGGTAATCACTCCTACATGTTGTTTAGAACTGGCACAACATTTGAGTGAAACTGTTCCTCAGCAGTAAAATCTGCCCAGTCGATTTACAGCAGAACATTTAAAACAAGAACAACAACATCCTGATGGAGGTTTTGCTAATTTTGACCAAACATTTCTGGTTTTATAAAGAATACGCTGATAATAACCAATCACAGTAGCTGTCGAACTAATCTGTGTCTCCTCATGTTTCCTCAGGGCTCCAGCAGCCAGACGGAGGAGTTTTCTCCACCAGGTAACATCAGCAGCATCAGATGAATGTAAAAAAAAAACCTCTTCATGTTGTTACTTTGTGGTATAATGAGTTCATCTGACTGTGCAGACGCCAGCTGCCCSCTTCTCGAGGCCAGCAGCCAGAGGATCCCCAGGCTCACTGTGAAGGTACAAGACAAAACTTGAACACTGCAAACACATTCCTCATAACTGCTGCATTCATTACAGAGCTGTCAGGAACCCCGTGAGTCATGTGTCACAAGACGTGAACGCTGCTGAGTGTGAAGAAACATTTATTCCAGCAACTGTAGATCTGTTTTAAAGCTGATTAGATTTTTTTGTGCACTAAATTAGAGTTGCACTCCAGCAAAGCTCCTAAATTATGTCCTTTTAAAATGTACGTTGTTATAATTAAGGCGTGCCCACGACCCAGGCACCTGTTCTCCCATGTTTGTTTGCATTGTCGTTCTCTGAGTGGGTTTCCTGAACTGTATTTTTGTTGTGCTTAATGGTGCAATGACGAATAAAATTCTCTTAAGTCTCTGTTAAAGGGATCCATGATTAGTTGTAACATTAGACTTTCTTTGATAAACATAAATTTTAACAGTAAAATAAAGACTAAAAATACTGTAG